GACTGTTGTTTCATTTCAAGAGCTTTTTCATAATAAGAAAGTGCTTTTGGATAATCACCGATGCTATTATACACACTACCTATGTTGTTGTAGGAATGACCCATATCAGGATGATTGGAAGGGAGTGATTGTTGTCTGATTGCAAGAGCTTTTTCATGAAATGAAAGTGCTTTTGGGTAGTCACCCATGCCGTCATATACACTACCGATTCTGTTATAGGAGTCTCCCAAATCAGGATGATTGGGAGGAAGTAATTGTTGTCGAATTGTAAGAGCTTTTTCATGAGATGAGAGTGCTTCTTGATATTCTCCTTGATTATATTTGATCCAGCCTAGTTGATAATGAATCGATGCCTTGTCAGTCTCATTTGTTGTTTCATGGAGTAAAACCTCATACACTTCTTGAGCTTTGGTAAATTGACCCAGTTTTATCAGTAATAATCCCAATCTGTACCATCCTTCTTCATCTGGAAAAGTCTCCTGCCGGATCTGATCAGTAAGAGTACGAAGATCTTGGTCGTTGTCATTGGTCAATGTTAAATTCACTTGATAGAGATGATTTTTTTCATCCATTGGTTGAATATCTCCAATACGAAAAATAGTATGCATAGAAAAGAGAACTTCATCTTCCATATGAAAATGACTAACATCACTAATAGAAGCAAATGGAGTTGTTGAGTTGGTAGGATTAATGGATATAACAAATAGAACTCCAATAAGATCAGAACTTGTAGCAGCTTGCGGCGCAAATAAGAGAGAAATATCACGATCTTTACTAGTTGATAAAAAGTTATTAAATGAAAGAAGTCCACCTTTAGTATTTGTCATTTCGGTAAAAGCTTCTTTTGAAAGACATTGTCCACGATAAACTGTAAATGATTTATCAGATCGTTCACCATCAAATTGTTGCGAATGGAGTCGTTGAATATCACGATGTAGGTCATTAATAAAGAAACCCATTCGAACAATGATATCACCATCCATTAATCTTAATGCTTGATTGAGCATCGAATATAAAAACTGTTCAGAAGTATACCACCAAATAGGTATATGATTATGATAGTCATGTTCCAGTTTTTCAATATTTTGCAGTTTACGCTCATTTTCGACAAATACTTCACGACAATATGTAATAAATTCTTTGAAATGTTTATCTTCGAAGTCGATGGTTAGTAAGATCTCTTTCAAGATCTGAGTATACATAAATGATGAATCTAATTGATCTAACTTCTTGTTTGGTGCTACAAAGCTAATTGAGATGGCATTTTGCTCACATTGGTGAGTAGTTTGTTTAAGAGCTCCACAGATGGATTTTATATCTGTGAAGATTCCTTTTATTTTAGGCCATTCTTTGGCCCATTGGTTAGGCCATTCTTGATTGTTACAAAAAATAAAAATGGTGTCTACTTGGGACATATCATGCACATGAGGCACAATATGTTTCCCAAGTGAACCAGAAACAATCATACATACTTTGTTGTTGTTAATGGTTTGAATAAAGTCAACACATTTTTCACCATCTGTCAATATATTTACGTTGTTAACTACACATTTCAATTGCTTGATTGTATTACTACAAGCAGCATCATTTTCATTGATATTGTTGTCCAACCAGATAACGAGAACATTCTGCATTCTTTGCATGTTAATACGTCGTCGATTTTCAAGTGTATCCTTGCAAAAGTTTGATACGTGTTTAGCATTAGCCTGTGTATCGGTTTGAACAGATGTTATTGATTTGTTGTTTGCCATTGTTTGTTATAATGTATACTACTTCAAGAAGAAATATTTATAAATGAGTGAGAATAATGTGTCATTTTATAGTATAAGAATTTTCTTTCAAGGGTATGGATGTGAGTCATGGTATTACATCTATTTTTCACCGATACCCATACCTCGCATCAAAAAAGGAAGAAAAGTCGTTATGGACTATACAAATGCTTTGCTTCGTATCGTATTAAATATATGAGTGGATTGTAATTTTTTTGTACAATTGAAAAAAAAGCGAAAGTTTTTCCACAGAATATCCGATTCGTACATTTTGTTCCTTATCATTCAGTGAATCTGTAGTAAACATTTCCGCGCTACCCCACTCGTCCTTCTCAAGATATTGTAGCATCAACTTCAGGATTTCAGTAAAGAAGTTTTTAAAAGAAATTGTGCCGTATTTGCGTTGAAAGCCCATGTATGGTTCTTCTATAACGAATGTTTTTACTTATTGTAGATTCCACTAAGAGAACTTATAAAGCTACGGCACAAAGTTCCGGCTTTTGAAAATTTTAAAAAAGGCGTATTAATTAAGGTATTAGCCTCAAAATCCAACGATCAACTTGAGAATACATAAGCAGAAATTAAACTCACACAAAAAAACTGGGTCTACAATTATTATGTAATTAAAGCTTTTTGATCTTCTGATCTAATTCAAAGAAGTATACCAGAACTACGTTTAGATAGTATTGTAATGTTTTTCATGCTGTATCTCTTTGTTCCCTCTAGGATCGTTTTGAACTGGGTCTGCACTTTGTCTGTAAATCTGTTTTCGTCAAAGAGAACAAAAAAATCAAAAGTGAGTCACATGGATGGATGAACAGAGAATTAAGTTCTGGACAAAACTTGTTATTCATCTATTTTATTTTTCGTTTTTTGTTCCTTCAAAAATTTCGTTTTCTATCGATGACTTATCGAAAAAATGATTTTTTTGGACTTGTCTCTCTTATATCTCAGCCGAACGATGAGTTATGAAGTTGAAGTTTTTTGTAGTAGTGGGAGATACATTAAGGAATGTGAGAAAGAAAGATCTGAGGCCGCACTATAGGTATTGGCATTACGAGAGAAAAGGTTAAAAAAAATGTAATTGCACTGAGGGCATACCAAAAGTCTTTACGAAGCTATATCAATTTCTTATAGAATGGTTAAGAAACTTTTCTTTTTATATAGACTAATAGTGAAAACAAAGCTCTACATTTCTACACTATTTGATCACTATTCATCTAATAACAAGAAGAGTAATATTTCGATAAAAACTGTTTTTATCTAAAACGTAACTCATGAGTGAGGTAGATTAATGGCTACGTTTTGTATCTCAATTTTCAATCACTTAATACGCTCTATTGAAAAAAAAGATACCACAAGATGCAGCGCGAAACGCTTTACACTTGGCAAAGAATAGTTTATTTAATATATAAGATAACAAAAAAATGATTTATTCGAGGCAGCGAATATTGATCGCACACAATTTTGCTTTTTTTTGACAATAAGAAGTATACAATTAAAATCAGCTTTACGTTGGAGATTGGAGAGCTCTTCGTGCTGCGTTTTGTGATATACTTTGTTTTTTTTTAAATAAAGGATCTCATGCGACAAAACAATGAAATATGAAAAAATGAATTCTTGTACCAAAAAAAAAAAAATATCGTTTTCACATGGGCGAAAATTGGTCACTCAAAATTTAGTTCATTCTGGAAACGAAAAATGTAACTATAAAATAAGCAAACTAATATAAATTGTAGAGCTTTTCAAGCTGCATCTTTTGGTACATTCCGTTTTTTAATACACTATATTAAGTGACTGAGACATTTAATCTGTCTCATTCATCAGTTAAGTTTTACATAAAAACCGTTTTTATCGAAATGTTACTCTTTTAATATTAGATGAATAACAATCAAATAGTATAGAAATGTAAAACTTTGTTCTTACTATCAGCCTATATAAAAAGAAAAGTTCTTCAACCATTCTATAAGAAATTGATATAGCTTCGTAAAGACTTTTGATATGTCTTAGGTATATTAGTGATTATATTCATATTATCAAACATATATTTACTATCTAGAATGAATAATATGCTTTTATTATTTGTTTTATTGATTGGAATTGTTGCGGTTATTTAAATGATCCATTTTGTTTTTGTCTTAGTGGTTATTCTAACTATATTCCAGCAAAATTACCAACAAGTTAGATAAATGAATCAGTTAATTGCTTTGATCAAGGTGCTAAGCGAACTGATTTAGATATATTTCCTACTAATAACGGATGTGGGTGTGAGTGAAAAGTAGATGCAATACCCACACCCTAGTTGAAGTTTCAAGATCAAGAATGACATTATTTACTACAAAATACTTCGATTGCCAGAGAATTTTCAAATGTAGCCATAGAAATTGAATCAGTAGTAAGAATTACATCGATTGAAACTAATTAACTTGTAATTGGACTTGTTATGAATTGATGATATAAGACAATAACTACAATCTTTTTTGTTTTGTTTAAATCAATTCGGATATAATCGAACATTATCGAAAAATACTCGGATTCGCTAGTAACTTTCCTAATATTAATGAATTCAATAATCATGAACTACATTATATCAATTTGTTATTTCTCTCTTCACTCTATCAGAACTCTCTTATTGATTAAAAAAAAACACTTTATTCTTAAGTACATCAAAATACTTATACATAGAGTAATTTCTATCATCTAGATATACAAACAGGATCATATTTTTTATCTGTTTACTTTCTATTAATATGTATTTCGAAAGTAAATCTAGTTCAAATAACAGAACATATTTATGCGTAGTTTAAACGAAAAAAAAGTACATTTAAAAAAATAATTTTTATTCTGTAATAATGTACGTAATATCTTTCGTACCCTAAACGTTATTTATTCTTACTATTAATATGACTTATATGTTATAATTTGAAAAGATAGATTTATTGAATCAATATGAATAAAGCCTGGATGTCATTTTTACTTGTATAACATTCAATGAAAATTTTGAAGCTTAACGATAATAATTGACAAAAGAAAAACAAATGCTTTTAACTACTTAAGGTAAAAATGAAATAAAATGAATTTTTTTTAATATTAAGAATCTAAATATATGCATATGTGTAAACATCATAATAGTGAAGAGTGGATTAATAAAACAAATATGACCAATATGTGCCAAAAAATATCTAATTAACAGGTCGAAGTCTTTGAAAAATAACAGAATAAAAAGAAATTTTTTTTTTTCATTTTTCAAAATGTTCTTTTCTTTTTCAAAATATATTCCACATGTTTCATTTTTAAAGATTCGTTAAAAAAACGTTTGCCTTACACTTATTTGGATTTTATTGATTTTTTAAAACAAATATAATACTCTATTTTAACAAGAGAGAAAAAGTTCTGTCTATACAGATTTATCACAGTCACAATATTATCATTAGAGATGATGTCCACAATGAAGAATCCGTTACTTCGTAAGTTTTATCAAGGATTTCTCGTTTCTCTACACAGATTATTTAAATTATAGATACGGATTCATTATCAACTCTAGATCATGTACATAATATTTTACCGTTAAAACCATCATTAACAACAATTCCTTCTAATGTATCACATAATGTTTTATCAGCACCAGCATTACATAAACGTCGACCACAAAAACGTGTTCGATTTGCATTAACATTAGAACCCGTTGAAGAAGATTCATTACCGTCAAGTCCAGAAATCTTGCCACCATTAATGTTAAAATCAATTAAAAGACATATTGATCCATGGTCACAAAATAGACCACTATATGGTAATTATATTGAGTATTTAAAAAAACAAGATGCATTCGTAAGTCATGAAACTCAAACTGATCAAGTATCGTCATCATCATCACCTACACTTGAACCTTCATCTGAATCGGCTACATATACACATACATTTGTTATTCAAAGTAAATCTCCAACAATTGTTATTGATTCAATAACAGTTTCTACACCACCACTTCATTTACCACAAATTATTCATCGTAAACCAAGATCAAATAAACGACAATCATCATCAGCAACTGATACTTGTCTTAAACAACAATTAACATTATCAACTCCACCACGTATGCTTCATACAAAAAAATTAGCAAATTCAACTAATCAAAGACATCATTATATATCAATACATGCCGTAGCGAATCGAACAGAATCATATAATAAAGCTATACAATCAGATAATATACTTGGATCAAAAACTATGAAAGAAAATATTCAAAATAAAAAATCGACTGAAAATATGATAAAACCATTACGAAATCCACCTAATCAAATCAATCATTTTTCTGATCGTACTAATTTACCAATTTCGTTAAAAAAAGCACGAATACCTAATCGTATTCGTCATATAAATGATGAATTAAATTTAAATAAAAATTATTTCTTTCAAAATTCTGGTAATGATCATCTTCTTCAATCAATTATTCATTAAATACATATACATATCAGAAAGATGTAAAATATCTTTCTACGCAAGTCAATATCATTTTTTTGATATTTTTAGTAATTATATTTTGTATTATTATTTTTTTTTTTATTCAGACAAATAATTTGTCTTTAGTTTGTGAATATCATCATAAACAGAATGAAACAATTGTCCTATAAATTGTTTTTTTTCATTAATTAAATCATTTCCTTTTATATCGGTTATGATTCCATTTGATACTGTTATTTCAATTGTTTGTTTTTTATTTTCAATTGTATAAACAAATGGTGGTGTTGTTTCAAAGATAAATTTCTTTGATTTAAGTTCATTTTCAATATTTTTCGTTTGTTCATAATATAATAATGAATCGATATAATCATAATTCGAAGTATTTTCTTCATTATTCCATTGAAAAAATGTTTTTATTAATAATTCAAGAGTATTTTCATATGTTATTGAATTATTTTGATCAGATAAATTTAATACAGATGATCGTACACTTGATGTTGCTTTACTTGTTATATGCATGTGATCAGTAGATTTTAATGATCGTCTTAATTCATTTAAATCAGCACGTAATAATAAAGTAAAATGATGATATGCATATAAACGTTCAAGACGTGATGCACTACCAGTTACTTTATATGTATCAAGAAATATATCATCACGATCAGTTATATATAATGTTAAATTAAATGCTTTATTTAGTGTATTAACAACCCATTGAAGATTTTTCTTACGATTATAATCTTGACGTGTTGTTAATATAGTTAAGTTTAAATTTCCTAGAGAATAATTTGCTTATTTAAATCAGTTTTTTTTTATATAAATTGTATTCTTCACCTACCAAAATCATGATAACATGTTCCTATTAAATTAAATGAAAAGACTATTTTTTTGAAAATAATTATAAGAAATATTTACCACCACCCGAATAACGTCTTGCTAAATCAATTTGTTTATCATTCAAATATTTAATATCACTTTCAACATAAGGATTTTGATATCGACCCATAACAACACATGGTTTATTACGCCAAAGTAATAATAAGCGAGTTTTTGGTTGATGTTTTATATTTTCAGCTAAATAACGTTCTAATGCTAAGTTAGTATATACATCGGTTGATCTTGATATAAGAACTCGATTACCACCACGTAGAATTGATTGCATTTTATAGAAAAAATAGGAAAATAAATAAATCAATAACTATATACATATAGTTTCTGGTAAAAGTATATATGAATCATAACTTGAATTGTATTGGTTAATAGACTGAGCAAGTATAGAACGGGCGCTGATCTTCATAAGATTATTAATATCACGCTCAATCATAAAACATATTTAGAACAGAAACAAAAGCTAGTTTTTGAACTATCAACTAAATCACACTCTTATTGAATATACTGAGTTCTAATATGATTCAACTTCCAACAATTGTCTAGCGTCACTTATATTATCATAGATGAATTCTTTATCGTATAAACCACAAGTTTTTACTTTTTTACAAAAATATTATTCTCATTTATTTTTCGGTAGAATTTATATAGTATCATATGTACATTATTATCGAAAATATGAATTAGTTTATTAATAAATAAAAATTTGAGAATATTTTTGGTGAAATTTTGTGATAGTTATTTGATTTCTTTCATACTAAATAAATAGAGATACCTTTTCAATTATTTAATAAAATTCTCTGTACTCTATTCAATATTTTTATTATTATTATTCTCATAATTTCACTTAAGTTAATTGGAATTAATTAAAAGAATTACAAAAAAAACTATATTTTATCTTTTTATTCAAAATTTCATAATTTTCTTTTGTTGCCCAATACAAATGAAAATCAAAAAAAGTTGTTCACTGATTTTTCTATTGTATTCTTTTAACTAAATCACTTGCAATGTTGTAACGACGACAACGACAATTGTTACATGATTTTTCTTTTTTCTTTTTTGTTCCTTTCTTTATTCCCTAATATTATGTTGTATATTTTAATTAAAAGATAACATTCGCATTCGATAAAAGCTTGTTAATAAGTAGACGAATAAGAAAAATAAAAGAAATGTTCACGACAAGACAAGCACAATAAGTGATGAATAATAGAACAAAAGATGTGAATTGAAATTTCTATTCTTGTACTGTTTTGTCATTGTTTCTTTGTTATTAAGTAGAATAATTTTAAGTATACAATTCATTCTTCGAAATTATTAAAAACAACAGTATTATGAATTTCTTTTTAACAAAAACACAAAAAATATTCTCTTGACGCATTTCGTATGTAAATTTTAATGAAATAATGTATTTTTTTGTCTTTTTTTCTCCACTTACTTAATTCTACCTATGAAAAAAGATTAAAAACAAACATTTAAAAGCGAAACTCGAAATATAAAGTAAACAAAATTACATTTTCTTCTTCCTTTATGATTCATATTCCATTCGTTTTCTTTTTTTCGGAGTCCTTACTCATATTTTGTCTTTGTATTTGTATGAGCACAGTTGTTTTTCTTCTACCTCAAGGTAACATAGGAAATCGGAGAAAAAATACTATATAAACATTTATATATTCCGGCATTGCATGTAATAGCAAAATCATTCGATTTCACAGCGTCTATTGTAAGTTTGAATAGATTTTACGCAATTAAGCTTTGTTAAAACTTTTGTTATTATTCTCATATAGAAATCCTATTTATTATATAATCTTAATGCCAGATCTTGGTAAAATTTCGCTTATTGCTGCAGCTGCTATTTCTGCTTTTTCTTTGCTACTTCTTATTATTAGTGTAGCAACACCTGTATGGCTTGATGATGGAACTGGAGTTACAGTAGGCCTTTTTAAACAATGTTTGAGTGTAGGCTGTGTTAGTGCAAATCAAGTTACTCAAGGAGGTCTGTCTATTTTTGGCCTTTTGTTACTTGTCTTTGCTATAGTAGCGAACGTCGCTGGTATCTTTATGAGAGGCAAACCAATAATTTTATGGATAGCT